TTTGTACTGAAGTTTACATGTTGAGATGGACTTTTTTGAAATGGGGCAAGGGGAGATGTGGAACAACTGGGTTTGGTCAAAACCAAACAAAAATTTCTTCTTTTCTAGGAGAAATAAAGTCTAGTCCTTCGGTAAGCCCCTTAATGGAAAAAAAGAATAGCTTGAAAGAAGACCACGAAGAAGCAAAGTTGTCTCTGGGTGACATTGAAATCCGGAGTCCCGTTTCTGAGGCGGGGCCTGTCACCGTGCCCCTGCGGGCTGTGGTGGAGGAGAGGACCGTCTCCTTCAAGCTGGGAGACTTGGAGGAAGCGCCGGAGCGAGAGCGGCTTCCCAGCGTGGACCTGAAAGAGGAAACCAGCCTGGACGGCCCCATGAACGGTGAGTGGAATTTCTCCAGCGGGGGAACAGTTTCACTTTTCTGCTGGTGCAGAGGCTCACTGGTGCCTCGTGATGTTCTTTATGTTGATGTTTCCTTTTGGTCTTGGCCAGGTGCAGTGCAGCTGCCTAACGGGAACCTAGTTCAGTTCAACCAGGCCGTCAGTAACCAGATCAACTCCAGTGGCCACTACCAGTATCACACGGTGCACAAAGACTCCGGCTTGTACAAAGAGCTGCTGCACAAGCTGCATCTTGCCAAGGTGGGCGACTGCATGGGAGACTCCGGTGACAAACCCTTGAGGCGCAACAATAGCTACACTTCCTATACCATGGCAATCTGTGGCATGCCTCTGGATTCGTTCCGTGCCAAAGAAGGGGAGCAGAAAGGTGAGGAGATGGAGAAGCTGACGTGGCCGAACGCAGACAGCAAGAAGCGAATTCGAATGGACAGTTACACCAGCTACTGCAATGCAGTGTCTGACATTCACTCGGCCTCTGAGATGGACATGAGCATCAAGGCAGAGATGGGCCTGGGTGACCGAAAAGGAAGTAGTAGCTCTCTAGAAGAGTGGAACGACCAGGATAAACCAGAAGTCTCTCTCCTCTTCCAGTTCCTGCAGATCCTCACAGCCTGCTTTGGCTCATTTGCCCATGGTGGCAATGATGTCAGGTTGGTGACTTTGAATCTTAGCGCTCATTCTGTTTTTAAACTCTTTACTTTTTTATAAGGCTATGCTTGTGGCTGTGGTGGTTATGCCATCTGTGAGACTGAATATCTAGGTAAGATGAGGTAATAGCAGTTAATTGACTTAATAAAACAAGCAGCAAAATTTTCTTTGGAGAGCTTTCTGTGGGTGGTAAACGGATATTGTTCAGAGAAGCCTTTTTGTCTATGGAGATGGGACTCAGTTCTTTGATAATAAATTTTGGAAGAAAACAACATCTAAGATGGAAAACAACATCTTTGCCTTGTGGGATGAGTTTGCAGGCTGTTGGCATTAGTTCTGTGGTTCATAAACTGGGAGCCCAGAGTTGCTTTAGGCTCCCTGTGAGAAGACAGCCCCCACATGCATGGTGCCGCTCTCCTCCTCTTGTGTATGTGGGTTCCATTCATTTTCTGTGAAACAGACCTATTTGCTAAGTGAGCTTCAGGCTTCATTCAAGACAACTATTAAGTTACTCAGTTTTCAGTTCTGTCTGAAAAGTTAATCTTTGCCCTCACTTTTCTTTCAGCAACGCCATTGGCCCTCTGGTTGCCCTGTATCTGGTTTATGAAACGGGAGATGTATCTTCAAAAGTAGCAACCCCAATATGGCTTCTGCTGTACGGTGGTGTTGGCATCTGCATTGGTCTGTGGGTGTGGGGAAGGAGAGTCATTCAGACCATGGGCAAAGATCTGACGCCGATCACACCCTCCAGGTAAGCTGGGAAGGGGGTCTTGTTCCTGGGGTACACACAGCTGTGGTGCTGCCACATGAATCTCTCTTTAGTTAAAGAGACCCAGTTTGTCTATGTTCTTGATGATCTCACTGTTGCTGTGAACTTTTTAGGTTTAACTCCAGTGGTCTCACAATAATAACTTTTTCTGAGGAAGATAGGTCTGCTAAGTGTGAATTGCTGTATATACTCAGCCTTTGTTTTTTTATGATGGTCTGTTGCTCTTTTTTTTATTTTTTAATCTTATTGATTTCAGAGAGGGAGGGAGAGGGGGAGAGAGAGAGAAACATCAGTGATGAGAGAATCACTGATCGGCTGCCTCCTGCACACCCCACACTGGAGATCGAGCCTACAATCCAGGCATGCGCCCTGACCAGGAATTGAACCGTGACTTCCTGGTTCATTGGTCAATGCTCAACCACTGAGCCACGCCAGCTGGTTGCCTTTGTTTTATTTGGGACCCAAGGAGGATGTCTAACAAAAGTCTTCAAAATAAAAGTGAATGTTGTTCATGGGCTTCCACAAAACCTTACAACCTCATGCGTTAGAGAAGAGGGAGAAGAGAATTCCCATGGCCTGATTGAAAGGAGATTTTAAGAATTCTAGCCAATTAAAGAGGTCCATGAGTGGGGCACAGCAAGTTGGCATTAATTTTGAGGTAGTGGTAGCTTATAAAAAAAACACCAAGTTTCATTCTTAACAAGTCATCTTTTTTTTTTTGTCCACAGTGGCTTCAGTATTGAACTGGCATCTGCCCTTACTGTGGTAATTGCATCCAACATTGGCCTTCCCATCAGTACAACGCATTGTAAAGTAAGTGTTATGTCACGTGCTGTGTCATTGAATGGTTCTGGTAATATGTAGGCTTTTAAAAAATACATATTTTTTATTGATTTCAGAGTGGAAGAGAGAGGGAGAGAGATAAAGAAACATCAATGATGAAGGAGAATCATTGATTGGCTGCCTTCTGCATGCCCTACACTGGGTATTGATCCCGCAACCCGGGCATGTGCCCTGACCGGGAATCGACTAGTGACTTCCTGGTTCATAGGTTGACATTCAACCACCGAGCCACACCGGGTGGGCTAGGCTTTTTTTTTCTTTTTATATATACTTTGGTTTAGAAACTTTTATGCAGTGGATCTTGAGGAGTTGTAAGTTTAGGACATGTGTCAAGAATATAAAGCCTTATCATAATATACCCCAGTTGACAAATTGAATGGTTGGGTTTTTATATTGCCTTCATCCTCCCACAGGTAATCTCCTTAATGTGTTATCAGTAAACCAGCTTTCCTGGGCTTGGTCTAGTTCAGCAGTTACCTACTTGAGGTCATGCGCCTCTTCACCAGAGCACCATTGGAATGAGTAACCAGTTCTCTTGCCTGTTTCTCTCCTAGGTGGGCTCTGTTGTGTCCGTTGGCTGGCTCCGATCCAAAAAGGCTGTTGACTGGCGACTTTTTCGCAACATTTTCATGGCCTGGTTTGTCACGGTCCCCATTTCTGGTGTAATCAGCGCTGCTATCATGGCGTTCTTCATATATGTCATCCTGCCCTGACTGGTTTGGCTCAATGGATAGAGCGTTGGCCTGTGGACTGAAGGGTCCCAGGTTCGATTCCGGTCAAGGGCACCAAAAATAAAAAAATAAAAGAAATATGTCATCCTCTGAGCAGAAGCTATTTGGGATGAGAATTGTGCCAGTGTTTGGACCATCACAGCATTCCCGCTCCTCTGAATGATTACAGTGATACAGGAGACCCAGGACAATCTACAGTTTGGGAGCTGTGGGAGGAAGTATTACTTGTGCTACATTTGCTTTTGTGCTAAATATGACTCGTCTCAAAATTAGCTATTTAAATAGCCAGGTTTCCACTGGTTCCTATTGGCTGTGACTTCCTGTACATATTTATCTACTTTTTGTACCCAGCTTCAATTCCATTATTTTTTAATGTTGTGTCTGAAGATAACTTGTGATTTCTTTTTTTTTCTTAAACACCATCCAGAGCCATTTGACATATAGTGTGCTCTGGTTGGTGGTGTCACCAGCTTCTGCCTGAACACGCACAGGGATGTAACAACAAAAACATATCTGAAGCTTCCCTTGTAGCTCTTAGTCAAATAGTCATTTGCACTCTGCCCTCCTGTTGGCAGTGGCAGGTGGTTCTGTTGGCATTTGTGGCATTTGTGGCATTTGTGGCGAGGTTCTTGGGCACAGTAAGAATGTAAATTAGTAACTTCCTGCAAGCAGTTGACTGACTGACTTATTGCTATGAAGAAGTAGGAAGAAAAGCCTCTGGCAGTTGTGGTTTCTTTAAGATTTCTGGCCATGTGGGATGGATGAATGGAGTGTGAACTTTGGGCAAGTTAGATGGGACAGCCTTCCATGTTCATCTGTCTACCTCTTAACTGAATAAAAAAGCCTACAGTTTTTAGATAATTGGTTGTCATGGTTTTTGTTCATATGTGAAGCATCGGGGCTCCTGATTAGTTGTCCTTATCCATTAACAAGTGACACCAATACCCAACTTCAGTTTTCTCCACTCCTCCCTGTTAGGGTTCCTGTGATCTCACGACGCATGACATCCTCCATGGGAACTATTGGGAGTGTGGCATATTTCCCTTTAAAAACATTAAGTTTTTTTCAACTACAGTTAACATTCAATATTGTATTAATTTTAGGTGGATGCATTTTTCCTCATACTAGCATAACCTAGGCGTTTCACATTGGCACACACAGATCTCTTCACTGTTTTTAACATCCACAAAGTTCCCTGTTTGAGCAGAGTATTTTGTGTTGTTGTTAATTCTCACTCGGTATTTTTCCATTGATTTTTAGAGAGAGGGAAAGACAGAAACATTGATGTGAGAGAAACACATTGATTGGTTGCCTCCTACACACCCTGACCAGGGTCCGGGCCGGGGAGGAGCCTGCAACCAAGGTACATGCCCTTGACCAGAATCGAACCTGGGACTCTTTGGTCTGCAGGCCAATGCTCTATCCCAGGGGTGGGCAAACTTTTTGACTCGAGGGCCACAATGGGTTCTTAAACTGGACCGGAGGGCCGGAACAAAAGCATGGATGGAGTGTTTGTGTGAACTAATATAAATTCAAAGTAAACGTCATTACATAAAAGGGTACGGTCTTTTTTTTCTTTTAGTTTTATTCATTTCAAACGGGCCGGATCCGGCCCGCGGGCCGTAGTTTGCCCACGGCTGCTCTATCTGCTGAGCCAAAACAGCTAGGACTGAATGGACTATTTTATAATTGTTTTCCAGCTTTGCTATTACAAAGAATGCTCAGATGTGTGTGTGTGTGTGTGTGTGTGTGTCAGGCTCAGCTTCATTTACAAATCTTCAGTGTTGCTTTCTTTAGTCCTGACCATGATCTCTTCTTTCCTTGGTCAGAATAGTAAATGGAAAGTGTAGCTTTGCAAACTAGGTTGATGGTTTCTGCCCCGAGAGCAAGTTTTAGGAAGATGCTTTTTGGCAACCAGACTGTCCCTGAGGGATTAGACTTGTGCCTGAGGGATTAGACCACTGGTTGGGTACACGCTCCACAGAATCGCTCAGTAAATGTTCATCAGGCTCCGCACTAAGCTCTTTATGCACATTTAGCCCTTGAGACTTGCGGTAGGTCTCACCCTTATTTTACAGCTGATGAAAGGGGCCTGGAAAACATCTGTGTTTCACAATACGTGCTAGCAGAGAGACAGTCTTTGGGGCTGGCTGGAGGGCCTTGTGCGGCTTTATTTGAGGAAGGTGGCCGGGGCTATACTAACAGGAACCTGGTGCTATGCCCTGAACTGAGGTCCTGGAGGAGGCCCTCTGAGTTTTAATACTGGCTTCCTCTCCTGGAGCCATATAACCTCAGAGCCGGACCGTCTGCTCTGGGGTGAAATGGAGAATAGTAAGCCTCCAACATTTCCCCTGTGGCTCAGGAAAGGAGGGGGCGGGTAGGGGATGAGTTGTTTTTAAATCAAAGTTGTGTGCATATTAAGGAGTCAGGTGGTTCAATAAGGCTTGTAACAACAATGGATCTGCCATCCCTGCTCTTTCCTTTCCTAAGGCACCGCTTTCAACCCTGGTTCCTCTGTGTCTCAGTGGTGGTAAGCCTTCCCTTCTGCATGCACAGACCCTAACCTCACACCATCACTGTATTACTGGGTCTTAATTTTGGTAAGATCAGTATTCTGAGCATTTGAAAGGTAGTGCTGAGCTGCTGAGTCATACAGTGACTCCACTGTGATCACTTCCTGACATTTTGTTGTCCTGTTCTTGTCACTAATTGATCTCAAAACTCCCAGTTGTCTGATTTTGTCTTGGGACCATCAAAAGCGACAGGCATGGTCTCTCTCCATCGTGGAAGGAAGCCTTACTCAGCTTCTCATCTCATCTGGACAAGTTGTATATCTGTCCTAAAATCTTCCTCATCCTTCTGGGCATTTCTTTTACCTCCTTTGTTAAATTTCCCATTTCCCGTAGCCCATTTTTCATTTTTTTTTTCTTTTGGCTTATTCCCTTGCTTTTGTGGAGAATGCCCTCTAGCAGCTTCCTGAGAAAGAGCTGGGGAGGAGTTTGTTGAGACCTTGTGTGTCTGCACGTGTGTTTATTCTGTCTTTACATTTAATTGGTAATTTGAGTATAGAGTTTAGGTTCGAAATAATCCCCCTTCAGAGAATTGACGGCACTGCATTGGTGGAAGTCTGAACCCTTTCTGATTACTTGGTGCGTGTGCCCCGCCTTCCTTGCCGGAAGCTTGTTGGGGTATTTACTGCTTAGTGTGGCTAACTTGACAGTGCAGGGATGGTTTATTTGTCAGTGGACTGAGCACTCACTCCTGCGAAGCCCAGAAATTCACATCCTTCAGTTCTAGGAACTTCCTGAATTACTGTGATATCCTCTACACCTTTTTCTTTTTTCTCCTAAGCTATTGAACGAGTCCTCTAATTTCTCATTTTTTTGCTCAATACATTCTTACTTCTCTGACCTTGTCCTTTATGTTCTATTTCATGGATGCGATCAGTACCTTTTTCTTAAATATTAAGGATAATTTTAATTTGTTAACATAGTTCCCATTTTTGGCTCTGGCTTTTGCTCTGGTCTGTGTCCTGCCAAGGCTTTCCTTGGCTGCCGGGTGCTCTTTGATCTCATATTTAAGAGCAGAATGAAGTGCTGGTGGGAAGCTCAGTGCACAGGCGGTGCTGGTGGGACTGTGGCGCCTTTGTCACAGGCAGTGCTTTTCCACTAGTTGTGATTTTGTGGCAATATGTCAAATTATTGGCAATATTGAGACTTCTGGTTGTCACAGTTGGGGGATGTTACTGGCCTGAGAAATCTTGCTATGGACACCCTACAGTGTACAGGGGCCCCACACAAAGACTTAACCCAGACTAAAATGTCGAAAGTGTTGAGGTGGAGAAACCCTGGGTGAGGTGATCCCAGAGAAGAGCCAGGTCTTGGTGTGACTCAAATCTGTGGGGCTGGCTGGGAAGAGGTCACTGTTCAACTGCAAAAGTAGGTTTACAGCTGTGAGTATGCGAAACAGTTTATTCTTACATTATTACTTATTATTGTATTATTTTCCATACAAGCAACTGTAAACCTACTTTTGCCCCGCCCTGTGTTTCTCTGTTTCCAGCACCGGTAGTTCCTGCTTTGTGGCTTCTACATGCACGGATTCTATACCACCGTTTGGGTAAATAACCCAGTCTCCCAGCAACGTGGTTCAAATTTCAGTTGCTGTGGCACATGTACTAACTCGAATGCTAGCTCTCCAGGCCAGAAAGCACACCTAGAGCCGAGGCGCATCGGCACCAGTGACCTGCCCAGGTCCCCCCCTCACCAGTGGGTGGCTGCTTGCTGCGCATCTGTTACTCTGCTCACTCAAGATGACAGAGCTCTTGGCGTCGTCTCCTGTTCTCCCAGCGGTGGAGAGGGCTGCAGAGATAGTGCTTTTAGTGCCCCTGATGGGTTAGCTCCTCATTCTCTTAGGGACTTGGACAAAAGTATCAAAACGTGCTTTTTTACCATCAAACACAGCTCTCATCAATTCGGCCAGTGGAAAAAGAGGTTATTTCCACTTCTCATGGACTTCTGGACAGGCTGTTGCTGCTACGACTGGAGATTTTACAATGTCTTTAGCTGAGGTTTGGAAGAAATTGAAAGCATCGTAGCAAAAAGTGACAGAAATGCACAGTGTGGCAGAATTCAAACTGAACATAAACTGGCTTGTATTTGACCGTGGAAAGGCTGGTGCTGCTGCTGTGAGGAAGTTGGTGAAGGTGACCTTGTCAACATGAGGGAGGAAAGGGTGCAGATGTCTCAGAGGAAGTGACTGATGGGACTTCACACGCAGGGCCTTCTCAGAGGTGGTTCACGGCAGTGAGAAAAGGTCTGATGGGGGAAGCCCATCCCAAAACACTTCTACCCCAATATTTCTAATGATTTAAATCAGTGGACTAAGTAAATAGTAGCTTAACTATTTTTTTATTTCCATATACATTTATAACTGTCATTTAATGTTTTGAGAAAAAAATTTTAAAGCTCATGGGACAACCATCTTACCTGTTGGTTATTAGACCACCTTGCATGGTCACATTTGTGGACCCACAGCTACTGTGCAGAGCGAGGGCGGCCTTTGTGTTACTTGCCCTCAGCTCTGCCCACTGTTTCCCAACCCATGGGCCCTCCATGGTGCCCTTTATAAAATAAACGTCCAGTCTGATGCCACGCGGAAGACCATGCCTGACCGCAGCGTGGGGCACAGGCGTGGTGATTTCAAATATACATGAAAATAGAAGAGTATAATGAACCGCGGTACCAGGTGCCCTCCATCCAGCTCCAACAACAGTCAGCATTCTGCTCTCGCATCTGCTTCTCCCTCTCACAAACGTTTTTTACCGGAGTATTTTAAACCAAATGTCTTCTGACCTGTATATTACTTGAGGCTATGTCTAAAGGTGATGTTTTTAAATGTCACCACAGGTGCCCCGACTGCTTCCTAGACTCTGAGTGACAGCCTTTCAGGGGCCACCTTAGCCTCGGCCGTCTCAGGTCGGTCCCTTGTCCCCATGTGCTATCCCGCTGCCACAGTTCAGTGGTTTTGTCTCCTAGCCCGATGACTGTGATACCGTTGTAATGAACTAGTTACTAATAATAGAAAAGAAACAAAGGGAAGACTAGACATAGACATGGTCCCTGCAAACCACGGGGAGGGAAACACACGGAATGTAGGGGCATCCCCAGGAAAGTTGAGATGACAAAGGCAATACGACTTGCTTGTCAGTCACACCTGGGAACAGAGGTCATTGGCCAGAGTGGGTGTGAGATATATAATTTCCTAAACAAATTCACTCTCTTGGTTCCTCTTGGCATGCTTGGCTCATGGCTCATGGCTCATGGCTCATGCTCGGCTACCTGGCATTCTCCCGTGTGGCCCATGACCACGCGGACCCCACACACAATGGACTAATGGACTGCAGCTAGCCTTTGCTGTCCTGGACCCAGCGCAACATGGAATGGAAACTGAACACTGACTTTGCTTCTAGCTTTACTGAAACCCAGATTATACTTCTATAACTGGAAATAAAGCTTTCTACCATACCTCATCCTCCCGTGCAAGTCTCAGAAAATTCCTTTTCTCGGGATATCCACCTCCAGCAGCATCCAGTGGGGAAGGGGGCCCCCACTTGGTCTGGTAACAGCTGTGTTTTTACAATAGTCTCTTACCACCATTTCGGTGGTGTTTCAGGGGGAGTTTAAGGCCAATGTTTCAACCTGTTTTTACCTAGGAATTCTTGACTAGTTGATATTTTAGTCATTTATTTTTTTAATCACCTGAGGATATTTTTTCTATTGATTTTTTAGAGACAGTGGAAGAGAGAGGGAGAGACAGAAACACTGATGTGAGAGACACATCAATTGGTTGCCTCCCGCATGCCCCCAAGCAGGGCTGGGAGCCTGCAACTGAGGTATGTGCCCTTGACCGGAATCAAACCTGGGACCCTTCAGTCCTCATGAGTAAACCAGCTAGGGCTTAGTCATTTTTTTAAAGTGAAAAATTTAATGTTTAAATTGAAAATTTTTTGAACAATTAAGCATATAAGGTAGAGAATGAGAGAACCTTGCATGCTTTTCCGTTTCCCTGTCCCATTACCCAAAGGTAACTGTCAGTAGCTTGCATGTCTTCTAAGGCATTTTGCCTGTACATGTGTGCACATACGTGTGCATGTGGGCACAAACACACCACACAGAATCATTCTGAGAGATGAAGCTGCTGCTTCCTTGGTAACGCCCTTTTAGTGTCTAAAAGTTCAGTGGTGTCAGAATAAGCAGGTCAGTGTTGAGTCACCTGGTTAAGCCCCTGCAGTGGCTTATATAATCCTGCACTTGTGTACTTGCAAGTTGCCATCACCTTTGCAAGCTGGGCTAAGCTTTGGGCTAAGCTGGGGCTTTCAACAGTTCATTTCCTTATTGGCAAGGAAATAAAGGATTTGTTCTCACCCTACCTTACTCTTGACTTCCGGCAACTTAAAGCTGCTTAGAGTCCGCAGGTGACATGCTCACTAAAAGCTGGGCTGTGGTGTTTCCTATAAAATCCACTGGCCTGGGGACACCCGGTCTATTAACCCCTCTCTACTGCGTTTGTGCAGTACATATGACTCATATCTTTTTAAAAAAATGTGTTTTTTATTGATTTTAGAGAGAGAGGAAGGGAGAGGGAGAGAGAGATAGAAACATTAAAGATGAGAGACTCATTGATGGGCTGCCTCCTGCATGCCCTCTACTGGGGATCGAGCCCCAAACCCAGGCATGTGCCCTGACCAGGAATTGAACTGTGACCTCCTGGTTCATGGGTCAATGTTCAACCACTGAGCCACACCAGCCGGGCCGATTTGCAAATACCTTTGCCAATGATTTTCTCTGGTCTCACACCTGATCTTGCTCATCGCTCTAAATTTCAGTAAGGCTACCACACTCCTATCCCGAGGTGTGAGAGTCATTTCTCTTTAGCCCTGTTCCTTTGCCTCTACTTGAGAGACCTAAATCCTAATTCTTTAACGATCCTCTTTTCAGCTGGGACCCTGAGATGCCTGGAAAGCTTGGAAGGGTCAGCCAGCTGGAGATCTTGGAGGTGCTCCTCCCAAACTGTTACCTTTGTGGCAGATGGAGACGTCAGACTCTTAATCGCTGTTTCAAATAACTACGAAAATGAAACACTAGAGCTGCTGATTGGTCCTTTGCCTTTCTAGCCTTTCGTTCTATTTGGACAGGATGCGGGTTTCCTCGCCTCATCTGAACAGGCTGGGGTGCAGGGCAGAGTGCTGCTGCTGCCGAGGAGCCAGACGGTGGTGTTCTGGGGACGGCTGCATTTCCAGCGCAGCCTCCCCTCCCAGGGTAGCACTGCTGAAGACCGACCCAGATAGAGGCGCCTACCTCCCATTCATTCTATTTCTAGAAGCAAGCAAATGCTCTCTAATTGCAGGCTTGGACGAACGCCTCAGCAGTGTTTCTCACTGTGCTAATTGGTAAAATATAATTTTCAACTCACTGTGTCCTGCTTTGCAAAATAATAGTTGGCAGCTGAGTTGCCAGTTTGGTTCCTAAAGTGAAACTGCTTTTTAGTTTAGCATTAGGGATAATGGGCCTTTGGAAATCCCCGGGGAGACCTGTGCTGTGTACAAGGACCATTAGAGTTCACATTTACGCCTATGAGAACCAGGCGCCTATTGATTTGATGTCTTTTCCTGGGCTCTTTTATTAAATTAAATTTCAATGGTGAGTTTTGGGGGGCCGGCTTCTGGGAACTTTAGTCAATACTGCCCATTAGTCGGGTCCTATGATGGGCCTGTGTGTTCCTTATTGAATTGGAAGGGAGGTCATTTTCTTTGGGCTGAGACGTTTCTTTGGGCAGGCTCCCCGTCAGCCTCAAGGTGGTTGGCCTCACCAGCTTTCTGGAAATGCTGTCAGCTTGTGAGTGTGAAGTTGGTGTGACACTTGGCTTTTCTTGGAGTGGCTGTCGTGTCCACGGAGAATCGCTATCTGGCACAGAGAAAGGCTTTAAATTAAAAGTTTAATCTCTCTAAGCTTCAGTTTCCTTGTCCAAAGATTGGTGATAATAATTGTACTGATGTTACCAGATTTTCATGAGGATTCAGTAAAATAATGCATGTAAAGTGTGCAGTGCCCGATACTTCATAAATAGTGTTTATTAACTAATCTAATCATGCAAGTAAATGTAGGTAACTTTTCTTGATATGGTTCAACTTGACACTGATTCCTTGACACTGATACCTTCTTTGACTGGGGTATGACAGGTAATTTTCCTTAATGATACCTTCATTTCTTAAATCTGAAATGAAGAACTTAATTGAATGGATTGCCTTTGAAGGCAAGTCTATAAGACACTATAAATTAGGATTAGGTTAAACCTAATGGCAGAAAATACCAAGAACAGAGAAGACAGTTTATTTCTCCTGCAAGTGTAAGAAGCCCGGTGCTGTTACAGTGGTGCCCTGGTCTCCAGGGTAGGGAGGCAGGCTCCACCTTCACCACGTGGTGACCGCCTCGAGACCCCAGGCCCTAAGCTGCCAGCTGTGGTCGTTGGTAATGTAACTGAGAAATCTGCTCACTCAGAGTCCTGATGCCTCGTGAGGTAAAGTACACATCAGAGGAGGGATATGAGCCCCACTCTTGGTACCAACCTCTGCCTCAGAATCCAGTCAGAAGATGGGACTCATAGGTGTTTAACAAAATTTAGTTAAAGAGTTGTTAACTAGGTGGAAAGTGTTAAATGGCCCAAAGCAAACGCGAAGGTGTCATGGAGGTAGCATAGTTGGAGGCTGGGGAAACAGACAAGACGTTGGAGCTATTAAAACTTCAGGAGCTTGGCCCTGGCCGGCTTGGCCCAGTGGCTAGAGCGTTGTTGGTCCTCAGAGTGAAGGGTCCCAGGTTCAATTCTGGTCAAGGACATGTATGTTGTTTGCAGGCTCAATCTCAGGCCCTGGTTGGGGCATGTGCATGAGGCAACCAATCGATGTGTCTCTCTCACATCAATGTTTCTCTCTCTGTCTCTCCCCCGCCCTTCCACTCTCTCTAAAAACCAATGGAAAAATATTCTCGGCTGAGGATTAACAATAACAACAACAACAACAACAACAACAACTTTAGGAGCTTGGAGAGGAGCCCTGTGAGGCTGATAGATCTCTGGGGAAGCAGCACCGGGTGGCTGGTGCTGGCGTATCAGCTTGGAAGGGTCTCTGGGCCTGGGGCCCACACCGTACGAGGGCATGGTGGCGGCTGGTGACTTTGAGAAGCTGACTGTGAGGGCTGCCAATGTGTAAACAGGATCAACTGCTGCAGAGGAAGGAACTGCTGCATCAGAGTGAAGCAATGTGAGGTGACTGCATAGGGACAGGAAGTGGACAAGCAGGAAGTTGGTCTCCGCAGGTTCCTCTCAGCTCCCCTGTTGTAAACCACAGCAAGGGAGCAGCTGCTGACCAAGGTGCTCCGAGGGTCCTGGCCCAGCGTCACCCCAAAATGCAGAGGCTTAACAACCGGCACAGGGGTGTCTGCCAGATCTCTCCACTTTAAAAGAATCTTTGGCATTAAAAAAAAAGTGCCTCATCTCGGGGTGAAACTCTCAGATTGTGTGACTACCCAATAGTCTTTTGTTCAGTGGTCTTGGTGTCCACGGATGAATCTGGTAGCTGTAAAATGGTGATTTTCTCTTTTTCTCGATCCTGATCCTTGTCCTTTATTAGTTGGCATTCCTTAGTGAAGGAGAGCTTTCCCTCCCATCCCCCGTTCCCTGCCCTGAGAAATGTGGTTTTTGGTTGGGTGGCCACATGCCCAGATGGAGTTGTCCACTGGGAACAGGGGGAGAAGATACTGGTGAGGCGCTGGCCCTTCATCCCAGTTCCAAACAAGCCATCCTATCCCTGCAGTTGCATCCCTGATTGCTTGAGCTGTACAAGCTCCAGAAGGGATGAGAAGGAATTCGTGTTTTGTACAGGAAAACATGAGGGAACACAACCGGACTTCACTGGTGGCGTCTGTCTCCGTGAGGACCACATAGGCCTGGGGTCCTCAGCCTCGGCTGGGCATCGGCCTCGCCTGCAGAGCTGGGGCGTGGGCAGAGCATTGTGGTATCACTGGTCTGGGAGAGACCCGGGCATCAGGAGTTTAGGAAGCTCTCCTGAGGATTCCAGCAGGCATGCAGGCTTGAGAACCCTAAACCAGGAGGCAGCCTGGCCACCCTGGGTGAATGTGTGCTCTTCCTTACGCTCCATCAGGTGGGATGAAGGAACCAATGAGATTTCCTGGCATGTCTTTCTGTCAAATCAGCATTTTCAAAACTCTACCCACTGTTAGTGTTTGACCACCTGGTACATTTGATTTCTCCCTTTCAAAAAAGAGTTGACTGTTCTCATAATGCTGGTCCAGATTCAGGCACCCAGGTTTAGAGTGCATCTCATGACTTCAATCACAAACTCACCTGAGCTTCTGTAAAATGGAAGCATGCTTTTCCTCCTTAAGATGGAGTGAAGGAGAGAATCCAAAGGTGAATAAATATTCAGGGGTGGGCTGTGGGAGTGGAAGTGGCAGC